ACTTCTAAAAATCGATCTTAATTCTTAATAAATTCTATCCTAATTCTTCTAAAAATCTATCCTAATACTTCATCACACCCGCGTCTGAACATTGCTGTTTTTCCGTTAACATCTTCAGTCTACCTCGAAACTACACTGCTTCGGCTCGAATCAATGTATTTATTTAAAACAATTGTTTTGAACATAAAGTGCCGAATAAACACGCAATTTAAATTGATGACAAATAAACAGCTAACAGATGGTCAGCTTCACACATTTACATAACGCCTGCATTGATTATTTCCATAAGGAAACAGACCGCTACGTGGCGCCACTCCCTTGTCCTCTACTCCACTGATATGTATTAGAACTGATTCTCATACACTCTGATACAGCATATAAATAATTATGTTACTGCATTACTGCTACTACTCCTACAGTCTTCACACATTAGAGATGACTGAAAAGACTAGACGACTGGATAGGGAAGAAGCATGCAAGCAAGTAAAGCAAGTAGGTGAGCTGAGAAGGAAAATAGCACAGAAGCACAAGGACAAGTGAGGAAAACGAGGGACAGCGTGAGGGGGGGGGGCAGCAGAAACGTATGTATGAGAGCGAGGGCGGGGAGAGGATAATCTAAGGGGAGATGGGAGGAGGGAGAAAGGAAGCGTTCGTTCTCTCTAGCATGTTTCTCCTCAGGGTTTCTTGCCAGGGCTTCCTTCAGCGACTTACCGCGCGAGTCTCTGTCCATACCTGAGGTTAGAGGCTGAGACCGGCAGTGGCCCCGTGGACCATGATCCAGACAGCATGCCTGCTGCGTGGTTAAAGCCAGACATCCCTGTCAGGTCTGCGGACAGTTGAAAGTCACCTGCGGACGAAAGAGTAGGAGAACGCATTGTGATATTGCCGCGATACACACGCACACGCCCACGCCCACACGAGTGCACGCACACAAATTTCCACCTCACATGTGGCTAAACAACCACCCCACGCAGACAATTCTATGCAATATGTGTGTGGCCTATGCCCAGATCTCCCAAGAGAAGGCAACGCAGCTTATTAATGTACTTAACATCGAGGTACAAACACCCGCAAAACTACCTGGCTACCTAATTTGCTCAGGGGAAGATAAACTTATTACAATCCATCCATTGCCCTGTTTTTTCTATCATCCGAGGAAACGTATAGAATTCATGTATACTAGTTGTTAACATATCGTTTCTCGTTAAGTTAGCGGGGGCACAGAAATGCAGCGCAAAAGCCCGATACACCGTAACATCTTTCTTAACAAAATGACTAAAAATTCACACCACTCTCGTAACGCCGCACTTTGGCAAACAAAAAAGTTGTTATGCCACAACTGAGAAGTGTGCGGTTACAGTGCAAAGTAATTTTTAAGCGCTCGGGCGAAAAAAACCGTTGCCGCACTTAACTTGATTACTGGTGCGGTAATATATGCTAATCAAATAGTGGCAACGTCTTCAGCTGTTGAGGAATAGTTGGTCGGATAGCGGGCAACACATAGCAGCCACAGCGCTGCTGTTTCCTGCACCTCCACATGACGCTCTAGCTGCAGGTAAATTGATTCCCCATCTCATACCTTCCAACTTCACTCTCTCTCTCTCTCTCTCTCTCTCTCTCTCTCTCTCTCTCGCTCTCGCTCTCTCTCTATCTCTCACTCACCACGCGCGCCGACGCCGCACGCACGCACGCTAGCGCACGCCCGCACAACACACAACCAACGACGCACACGACACGCACGCTGACTACACACGCACGCACGCACGCACCAAACAAGCACGCAGCACGCACACACTAACACACTCGCGCTCTCTCTTCTCTGTCTACCTGCGCGGCGCTCTCTATCTCCCTCTCTCCTCTTTCTCTCCGCCCTCTCCATTACCCCTTAGATCTATCCTCCCATGATACCGCGATTCCCTCCTCTACGTATCAAGGCACTGCTTCGTATATATACGCTGCCCTACTCATAACTCGCTTCCTCTCCCCCTCTCTTATCTTTCTCGATTTTCCGCTTCTTTCATTTTCGTGTTAAGCCCTTCGTCCGTACCCAATCGATGATCACCAAAAACCCCACGCCGGCCCCGCGCTCCGTCTTGGGCAGAACGGCGAATGGCTCCATCTGCGAGCGCGGCAGCGCAAATGCTGCCGTGCGCATGGCCGGCAGGCGCGACTAGACCCGGGCCGTAAGCGATGACGTTCTCTTCCATCCCCTCTCTTCTTCGCCTTATATTCTATCTCTCATTCATCTCCTTCTCTCTTCTTCTCTCTGCTCTCGTTCTCTCTCTCTCTCGCTCTTTTGCTTTATCTTCTGTCCTCTCTCTCACCCTTCCTCGTCTTTTCCTTCCCCCTCTCTCTTCTTCATCGCCTCAGATACTTACGTGCAGAGACTGCGGCCGGCCGCGCGCGGCGAGCGGGGGCGTGAGGCGCGTGGGTAAGAGAACGCAAAGTCCGCACACCCGCACGCCTGCACTCGAGTGTGCCCTCCGAGTCTGATGGAAGCCGCACGTTCTCTCAATTTCTCCCCATGCCTCTCTCTATGTGTCGTTCTGTCTGTCTGTCTGCTCTGTCTGTCTGTCTGTCTGTTGAGTCTGTTTCTCACACTGTCTTTTTTCAGAACCTGTCTCGGTCTTAGCGAGCGCTCTCTCTAGTTTACTCACCCTCTCTTCAATTTACTCCATCTCAGAACCATTTTCTCTTACACCATTCTCCTTAATACTTGCTCGGTTGTGCTCCTTTCACCTCTACCTTCAGCAGATTTATGGGCTGTTTACTAGTGGGACGTTTACTGGCGCAAAACTTTCAGCACGGGAAAGAATATGTCTACGCAGATTGATAGTGGAATGTTTCAATAACGCGGTGGCTCATGGAATATTGTTGAGAAAAAGGTGAATAGTGTAATAGCGAGAAGATGAAATGGGTATAAGAGACGAGAACGAGGAGGAAGAGGAAATTGAGGAGGGAAGAGAGAGCGGAGGGCATGTTTGATGAGAGAGGGAGAGAGCGAACAGGGGCAAAGCAGATGGGAGGAAGGATGAGGGGACAGTTGGGGGATGTAAGGGAAGGAGCGAAAGGGAAGAGGGTCGGCGAGGAGGTAATAGGGTGGAAGTTGAGGGAGAGGAGGCATGAGGGGGATAGAGTAGCACCTACTATAAGTATTGGATTACGCATTTACATGCTGCGCTTGTGTAGGTGAGTCAGAGAGGAGAGGCGGAGATTAACGAGAATAGAATGCGGAGTAGGGAAGAAGAGCACGCAAGAGAGGACAGAGGCGCGAAAGGGAGGGAATTGCTAGGAAAGCAAGAGCAAGGAAGAGATGTGGGGCAAAGCGAGCGAGAGAGGGAACGAGGAGGAGACAGGAGATGGAGAGAGAGAGAGAGAGAGAGAGAGACGAGAGGACGGGTGAGTCAGGGAGAGAGATAGTGCGTGTATATATTCGTGTAATTGCACGCACATGCGCTTGCGTTTGTGTGCATGAGGGAGAACAAATGGAGAAAAAAAGAAAAACACATATGGCTTCACGTCTGTCTCTCACATTCTCCGTTCGTCAATATTAAAATCAAATGATTGGAAAAACGGAAGCAAGCTGTGCCGGCAGACATGCTGTACCTTATTGATCAGCTCACCAGGGGTTCACCGATGCCTCTACACATTCTCTCTCTATTCCTCTCTCCAACGATCTATCTATCTATGTATATATCCATCCATGCATGGATCCATCCAATTCGTCCATTCGTCCGTCCATCCATCCATCTAACCAACCACCCAACCCAGCCAGCAACCTATACAAAGCCACCTAATCATCCAATAAATCAAACCACCCACCCAAGCACTCTACCTTCCCTCCGTCCTTTCCCAGAGGCTGCTAATGACATATCAACATTTGTCATATCAACTACACCTCTTTCTCCCTCACCTAAATTCTTCCCCGCCCATTGCCGCCCTCTCATTGTGACACGCGTATTACACGGTGTGATACTTACTGTGTTGGAAGGTAGAGGGCAATGCGGACGGATATGCAGGGAGACCTGGGTTGCTGGGCGTCGCGAGTGAGACTTCAGGCGTGGACAGCGTCGCGTTCGAGGTCCGTGAGTTGTGCTGCTGTTGCTGCTGTTGTTGCTGCCCCTGCTGCTGCAAGCAGACGACAAGATCGCCACGTCACAAGGGGGGAGACACGACATGGCCGCGCATGAACTATATGCCATGCCACGAACGCAGATACGACATGGCCGGGCGTGAACTATATGCCACGCCACGAACGCAGATACGACATGGCCGCGCGTGAACAAAATGTCACGCCACGAACGCAGATACGACACGGCCCCGCGTTAACAAAATGTCACGCCACGAACGCGATACGACATGGCCGCGCGTGAACAAAATGTCACGCCACGAACGCAGATACGACACGGCCCCGCGTTAACAAAATGTCACGCCACGAACGCAGATACGACATGGCCGCGCGTGAACAAAATGTCACGCCACGAACGCAGATACGACATGGCCGCGCGTGAACAAAATGTCACGCCACGAACGAAGATACGACATGGCCACGCGTGAACAAAATGT